TGGCCTGTAGTTCCCCAGGTCTTCTTTTTTCCCCTTTTTAAAAATGGGGTTTATGCTTCCGCTTTTCCAGTCAGCAGAAACTTCACTGGACTGCCACGACTTCTCAAATATGATGAATAGTGGTTTAATAACTTAATCTGCCAGTTCCCTCAGAACCCACGGACACATCTTATCAGGTCCCATGGACTTGTGCACCTTCAGGTTCCTTAGGTAGTCTTGAACCTGATCCTCTTATACAGCGGGTCGTTCTCCATTCTCCCAGTCTTGCCTTCTGTGACTTGGGAGGTGTGGCTGGAGCACTTGACAGTGAAGACTGAGGCAAAAAAAGCCATTGAGCACCTCAGCCTTCTCCATGTCCTAGGTAACCAGGTCTCCCATATCCTTCTGGAGAGGGCCCACATTTTCCCTAGTCTTCCTTTTATCACCAACACAATTATAGAAGCTTGTGTTTGTGCCATACATAAATACATGAAAGTAAATTACATACCTAAAAATAAGACACTAATTTCTATACCCTGCCAAGGGTATAGGAAAGATCAACCAGCAGGCCACATGGAAAGCTTCCTTGCAGGAAGCAAAGGCTCCAATAGAGAAAGCCCCAGATTCAGGAGCCAATTCCAAAACCACTATCACAGAGATGGATGTTACAGGTTCAGAATGCAACTTTAATTGCATAAAGCATAAGTATTTGACAAAACAAAAAAATAAGCAGAGAATGTAATCCATGCTTGTGGCACAGCTAACTGGCCAGATCTTCAGATTAAGGGTGCTTAATTTTCAGATACCAAGCAGGTTTAATTAAGCATAAGCTAGGAAACAGACTACTCAGTCAAGGCAAGAGTCACATTTAGTGAAGAATCCAAGAAACTTTCCTGAGTCAAAATTATGGCCTTTCAGAAGTACAAGAATTCAGGCAGAAAGACGCTTCTGAGAGCTAGGTATCAGTTACTTTGACTTTGGTTCAGTTCTACAAAAACCTACTTCAAAGATGCCTACTACTTTGGCAGACTCAGAGCCTGATGACTAGCACCACCAGGCCATCTAGAAACTCTATTGCAATAAGAACAAGAGACAAGCCTCAGTTTCTTCTCTTACGTGATGTCACCAGTGTTTCTATGCTAACCTCCCATAGACCGGCAGTTCTGCAGTATGATGTTTTAAACTTTGTTGACAAAGAAGGGCACTTAATTTCAGACTTAAAAGCTGCACACTGAGGTATGTTTTAATAAGGAACTTGTGTTTTTAAAACTGTCAATGAAACGTATTAGAAAACACTTCTAATAACACACTTCTACCGTATCAGTTGCTGTTTCTTCAGCTGTTTATGTAAGCAGTTTAATGGAATTGACATATAATCTAGAAATAATTATTCCCATATGTGTTTTCTCCTTTCTACCACAATATTTTTTGTGTGTTTGCATTGGTTTCAAAAGAATCAAGGCCTCCATGATCATGCTGTGGGCATGCATAGGGAACATCTGCATGTGTGTCTGCTTTCCCCTAAAAAGTCTGAAGTCATTACCTAACTGACCAAAGACATGAGCTTATTACATATTTATTGAACATCACTTACCAAGCACAGGGGAAACTGAGGGGAAAACAGCACCGTAAAAGCAATCTCTATTAGATATGAAATCCTCATACAAGAGCAATATATTTAATAACAGTAATACTGGAAAAAACATCCATTAGATTTCACACCTTATCAACATAAAAGTCTAACAAAACATAAATGGAAAGGAAAGTAGATTTTACTGGTTCCATGCTTCCACAAATAATTGTTAATGCAGATGCTGAAAAATTTGCATGCTTTGCTTTACTTTGCTGGGCTTCAGCATCACTAGTGTTAAGGACAGAAAAAGCCACTGCTATCCATTCAAAAGGCATTTGGTACTAAGCAAGTATTAAACAATTTCTGAGTCAGATAAGAAAAAAGCCTATAGTGGAAGCTGTAGTGACCATACATATATATTCTGTACCAAGAGCTAATGATGCCTTTCCTTGCAGGATGCACCATATTCCATCACGCACTAAAGTCTTCAGTGAAAACACTCTTACATTAACATGGTCCAGTTTCGGACTTTAATGCGGGAATCAGTCTAAGAGAATATACCAAGCTCTAAGAACCATGAATGTACTACATCTGAAACACCAAAGCAAATCACTATTCTGTGCAAGACTAAAGTTTTTACCTTGGAGACTTACAGAAATTCCTAAAGAACAGCAGAGTTCTTCTCAAAGTGGATCTAAAAAATTCATAGCAATAACATGTTAAAAACCCCTATAAATCCATGGCCATGGGAAAGATTTTTCTAGTGCCAGTCTAAGTTCAAAAATTAGATTCTTTTCTTGAGGTATCGAACAAAGAATCTTACTGCTTCAAAGTTATCTGAACTCCATTGTGCTAATTTCTAAAAATCATTTAAAATCAGATACCTAGACCAGTTCTCTCTTCCTCTGTAAGAATGCTATGGGCATGTAAGTATGACAAGACAAACTCTAGGATGCTGCCTGCATGTAATTAATCAGTGCAACTTAAGCAGGGACAGCATCTGGAAGTTTTTAATTTAAAATGTTTTATGGGAGACAGAGGAGTTGCCAGCTGATTTGTTCATGTCAGCTTTGCAAGTCTGCAATTAGCCAGCACCTCTAAACAACCCTCCTTTTTTCCTGTCCCATTCACCATTTATTATAAGCAGAGGTGGCACGCATCTTTTGATTTAATGACTCTCACTAGAAATTACTGCTTTGTCAGAAAACATTGAAATTAGTTGGTTTTGATGAACCCTCAGTGAAACACTGCAGAGATAATGGAGGAAGATCACTTCCAGGATGTGGATGAGTCCTAACAAGCAAAGTACCTCAAAATCAAAGAACATCTAGTTTTTCTAGATCCATGAATCCCAAGCAGCCCTTCCACACAATAATGTGGACACAAAACAACTGCTTGGAGATTTTGGTTGTTTTGCTTCTTCCAGATTTCTCTTTTGTAGAAAATTTAAAAATTTTTTCTTTTTCCTTCTGAAATGGAAGTTAGAAGCTTGGAGGATTTCAACAGAAGTGTTGTGCCAACCAGTTCTACTTTTGATAGTTTCAAGGTCAAGCACTCAGCATTTGGTTTACTTCAGACCATACGGAACTGGGGAGTGCTCATCTTCTGCTACCCCTTCTGAGGATTTGCTTCTTTCTTGAGGGCAGTAAATGCTAACCTGCACCAAAAAAAGCTGTCACTGCCCTACTGAAACAAAGCCCCTCTCACCTCATATTCTCCTTGGTGCTGCCTGTCTAGTTCGACTGAAGCAATTTCAGCCAGGGGCAGTGTGTGAGGGCAAAGTATGCTCTGTATACTGCTCCAATCTTGTCTGTCAAGAAAACCTAGTCCTATACAGATGCTTAAATTTAAGCCTGCAAGTGTCAATATATGTCAGAGTTTCTGAAAGTGTGGTTTCTGTTCAGGATGAAGCCAGCACTTACTGTATTTTAAAAGCAGCTCAGCTATAACAGTGTCTGAACTTGTGTTAATGATACACTTTTTGAAAAATGTGAGAAAATTCTTAGAGAGGAGGTATTTTAATGTCTCGGGGGAAAGATAAATCACAGCTATTGAACTATTCACTCCTGAAATCTTAGCGAAATGTGAACTGTTTGGGGCGGGGAGGAGGGGAGCAAAAACCTGTGCTTTTCTGTCATAGGTCATTCGTACATGCTGTTATCAAGGTTATACTATCATACACAGGCACACCGCCTTTAAGGGGAAAAAGGCCTAATGCTAAAATTGCAAAATTGTTAGTGAAAATTTTAAAAAGTAAAGTCTAAAATAAATTGCAAGCCAATTAAAACCTGATAATAGAAGTTGTGAATGTGATGTCTATGCTACACTGAAATGACAACTGCCTGGGAGAAACTTGTAAAAAACTGAAAAATCATTCTTGCATTTCACACGAACAGTATGTTTCCACATTTCATACCACATATGCTCTTTTTGGTAAGTGCAGTTCAAAAGGACTAACAAGTACAAAGCACTTACACCCCTAGTTTTATTTGCACTGAGAAGTTTCTTTTACTGCTCACAATTTCACTGTATAACGCAGCACCAGGTTCCTCTTTGTAAAACTGCAGCATGTCAGTTGCAGATGCACAGAAGAAATGAGGTCAGACTTCCACACTTGCACCTCTGGGGCTACTCTAGAAGTCCACTGTAACAGTTACAACCTCCTGGTTGTAGAAGAAGAGGAATCAACAACAGAAGCACCTTCTCCAAAACACTACAGTAAATGGAGTCAAGAGGGTCACCTCTCTCTCCATCTGGTGACCCAGCAGAAAGACAGCAGGCAGTTGTAATGCTGTCAGCACAGAGGCAGCACTTCCACCCAAAGGCAGGTGCAAACACACCCAAACTGCCTCAACTGCCAGTCCAGTCTGAATGACAGAAATGCTGCTCTGACCTGCCTACAGCTTGGTAATAACCACAAAGACCATAATTTTCCACCAGTCTTTTCTTTCCTCTATAAGCAGCACCTTTTTCTGATTCTAGGCCTCGACTCCATCCAATCCTCTTTCCCAGCAGTTTTGTGTTAGGCAGAGATAGTACTTCACTTCCATGCCTCCATAATCTCATCACTGGCATTGTATCTGGACTAGCAATACCATCAGTACCTGGCTTTGGCCTGTGTTCCCTGGCCACACCTGTTTCAGATTTAAAGGTAGGTTATGAAGACTATGGGACTTCATAGCAGGAAGATGGACTTATTCCTGCAAGGAAGTGGCCTTACAAGCATCCTGCATTACAAAACAATACTAATTTGCTTCATAGCAAGCAACCAAGAACCAAGACTCTGTTTTTAGACCAGGAGGAATACAGTGATGCTTAAATCATGTAAATACAATTAGTACTTCAGACTTGAAAGTCCTGCCATCTATTCATAATGTCATACACTTCAAACACTGATAACAAGTGAACAGAAGACTCTTGAAAGGAAACAAGTCATTTTTTTTCTTACCCTGATTTTTGGCCCAGTTCTCTATCACTGTTGAGAAGCACCATTTCCTCCTTCATTTCTTGTTCTGTTGCTACGTTATTTCCAAGTCTCTGTTGAGAATTTGCTTCCCATGCGCCATCACCACCAACCACCTGCAACACATGTGTTCTTGTGATGCCTGAACTCTCATCCTCCATAGTCAGGCCGTTTGAAGGAGAACAGCCCTCATGTTCAAAAGATTTCTGAAGGGGAGTTTCTACCTGAAATTCTGCCTGAGTGTCAAGAAACAACTTCTGCGCTACAACAGCTGCTGGTTCTTCACCAGAATGTCCAGATCCTGATTTTGGCATCTCTGACTCAGCAGAAATTTCTTCAGGTGATCTGTCACTGACTTCATTTTGGCCCAATATAATCCAGCCCTCATCTTGCCCACAGCTCTCCTGTGATCTCCTGTCATCATCCAGTTTTTGAGGTACAATAGAAGGACTTTTCTCTTCTAAGTGAACAGAGTCCCATTCAGTCCCACAAATGCAATCTTCCCTTTCATTTGTAATGGAGATTGGCTGAAAGGTATCCAAGGAGCCATGCGAAAAGCTTTCATGAGATTCTGTGTGTTCAGCTACATTAGCTTCTTGACATGCAAAATCATTTTCATTTCTTTCAAGGGTATCCTTAGTGGAAGGTATATTTTCTTCCTCAATAACAAGGATGTAATCCATCTCCAGTAAAGCTGAATCTCGCTGCACCTGGGTTCTCACATCTTCCTTACCCTCTGTACTTTTCAGTTCAGTGCTCTCAGAGGAATTTCTCAGCTTATTCTCCCTACAAAATAGGGAGTCAGTGCCAGCGTCTAAAAAACAAGGAAACAGAAACTCCTTTTAGTTTTTTAGTTACTATGTCAGTCACCATGATTTCTTTAAATCAGTACAGTGAGATAAAGCACTTCTCACTTTGCTTTACTCTGTTAATGTGTACTTGAATTTTATAACAGCAGCATTATTGTTAAAGATTATACATTAACACTGCAGCCATTCCTAAAGGGACAAATGATTCGGTGTCCCATATGCTAGGCCCTGTACAAACAGCAGAAACAATGTTCCTCCTTCAGTGCTTAAAAGCTTTAGGTCTGCTAGAAGGGTGATGCTAGAGGTCTTCCCAAAGTACAGAGTTTTGTACATCAGGGAGACACACAAACTTCAAACTTCACTCAAAGCGTCATCATTCAGCAGTAATACTCCAGACATAGCCTTCTTTCTTTGTCCTATGAACTTGCTCTGGAAAGCAACTTTTCTTACCATAGGGTGATCTTTTATCTCCACCTGGCGGTGAGTCGGGAGCAGTTGTTTCTGCTTCACATTTTCCTATCGCAATTTCAGAAGCTCTTGGAGTTACTTCAGACTTGGAGAGTGAAGGTAGGGATGTGCGATTTTCCTGAAGGCACTCTATGGACGTTTCAGACACCTCATCTTCAATGCTGCTGTCTTGGGTCGTTAGGATGCCTTCTGCACCTTCCGAAGGAGTTGGCAGTGATAAAAGTTTTTCCAAAGAAACACTGTCACAAAATGGCTGCTCTAACAAGAGCTCATCCTCTGCACCCTCTCTGCTGCCAGAGGGTTCAGCATCAAAAGATACATGGGATGGTGATGTACACACCACTGGTGATTGGTCACTGGGCATTTCCTTGAACACAGGAAAATAATTTTCAATTACTTCTTCAGATTCTTTTGCTATGTCATCAACCAGTTGATGATTTGAATCAGATTCATAGCCTTCATTACCACCAGACAGAAAGAACTTGGGAAAGAATATCTGTTTATCCTTTGATTTCCCTTCTGCTGCTTCACTGTCTATCACTGCTAGTATGTTCATTCCACTACATGTGCTTGCCTGGACATTAGTCACTGATGTGTTCCTGATGTTATGTTCTACCCCTGTCTTAGATTCATCCACACATTCTTCTGACATGTCTAGCTCATCACCAGTTACTGCTGTATGGTCAATATCAGAATATTTTCCAACTTCAGCCAAGGCATTAATTTCTTTTAAGCTTTGTTCTGCCCTACCAGGTAGAGTGAAATCCATGGGAACAAAATGCATTTGCGAGGTTGCTATTTCAGCTGTATCAGCTGGTGTTCCTTGATGGCTTGCAGAAGTAAAACTTTCATGGAACACGTCTTTCAGATCAAAGGATGTCACTGCTAAAACTTCATTGGTAATTTCAGCTGACTCAACTGGATCAGTAACAAGTTTATTTTCTAGACCATATTCTCCCAAAATTGCAAATTCAGGCGTCTCCTGAGTATTAGAAGAGATTAGCTGATAGGATTCATTGGTCTTTCTTTGTTCATAGTCTTGGGAGCTACCACTTTCAGACTGTAGCTCTACCTTCTGCATTACTAGCTGACACTTGGAATCAAAATCTGCCTCTTTACTCACATTTAATGATGTGTGAATCAGCTGACTATCTTTGTCTTCAGGCTCCACACCAATCCGAGAAGACAGGACAGAGTCATGCTTAGCTTCATATTCCTGGCACACATCAGGACTGCTTGATGCCTCTGAACTATTGTCTTGGTCACAGTGACTTAATATATCAGGATTTTCACCATCTGATTTCAAATTGACAATCTGCTCAGCATTAGTCCACAGGTCAGGTTCCACTGAAAACAGCTGATTACTTTCTTGTGTATTTTCCTGTAAAATATCTGGGACAAGTGCAGTTTGGGGAACTAATACACTCCAGCCTGGACTTGACTTCTCTGTCATTTCAAAAGATAAGTCTTCTACAGTGAAGGCGCCTGGCAGGGAGTTGTGCACATCTAATCTTTCACAGGTGTCCCGCTGTTGCTCTTGAGGAATGAGACTTGCATTTCCCTCATTGTCTTTTGGTAGATCCAGTACAGTGATTTCTTGAACTGATGTATTTGGCATACCTCGTTCTTCATCTGAAAAAGGGTTCTGTGGAGCCAGTTGATTTTCCTCATCTGTAGGAAACAACTGCTCTTTCAAGCCCCTTTCTTCTTTATCCGGTCTGAAAGGATCAAATTCTTTGAACTGTACAGTGTCTTGATTTATTTGACTACCAGGAATATTCATAGGGTGTACTAGCCTTTCATTTTCTTTTTCACCACAGTACAGGGGGGGAGGCTGATGTCCATCATTACTTGCATTAGTGAACTGTGCTTGTGTTAGCTCTTTATCTTGTGAAGGTGATCCCCAGGAGTCCTCTTTACTGTTTGTTAACTGGTTTGTTGCAGAGTGATTTGAAACAGAATACTGATCTTCCAATTGCTTTTCTTCACAAGGTTGTGAATTCCATAATTCTGAACTGTCACCTAGAAAACCAAATGTTGCTACTGTGGATTTTGGATCAGTTCTTAGATCATCTTCCAATGACACACTCCACATACCTACAGCTTTTGAAGAATACTCTTCTTTATCACCAACAGCAAAAGCCGGTGTAGTATCTTCATTCATTTTACACAAATATGAGTCTTCTCCACTACCTGCTTTTTCACTGAAAATACTCACCTGATCTTTTTTCTGAAGTGTTTCCCATTGACCTAAACATTCAGAAGTCTCATTACGCTCCATTATAGTCAAGTCCTCTTGCAACATTTTCCTAGCTTTAATTGTTCCAGAGTTTTCATTGAAGATGCCTCCCTGGACCTCCTCTCTCACCTTCGTTTTTGTATCTAAATTGTCTTCATTTGCTTCAGGACTTGTTGCGTTGGATTGAGCATAATCCTCTACAATTTCAGATGCTTTGTGCTGTTTGTTTTCATACATGGAATCTTCGTAAATCAATTCTGGACATGCCTCTGAATTCTCTGAATCCTCATTTATGTCAGGACTTGATAAAGAAGATACAGTATCATCATCTACATGAGCATCCCAAAAATCTAAGCTTTTAGGAACTTTGTTCTTTTCAGCACTTGTTTCAAATCCTTCTTCAAGTTCATTCCCAAATTCATTGCTTTTACAAGCATCTTCAAGATTTTTATTATTTTTAATATCCCACATATCCTGACTCCTTTTGTGATGACTGGCAACTGGAAGGTCTCCCCACACATTCACAGATGCATCACTTAAATCAGGACTTGTTCCACTTGAGTGTGCATAATAATTTATTGAATTACTCCACACATTATCTTCTTCTAAATAACTTTTGATCTGTATATCCTTTGAAAGGCTACTTGTGGTGTTTGCCATTTCAAGGACTTCACTTGCCTCAGGACTTGTTCCAGGAGATTGCAAATCTTCAAATGGCTGTGAATTCCAAGCAGTTTGGGGAAAACTGTCATTAGGCATCATACATGGCTCTCTGCAAAGACTATTAGCAGGTTCTAAATTTTCAGTGTTTTCATTTCTCCCAGAACCTATTTCATGTGAAAATGAATTTTCCACCACAGACATATCTGTAATGTCAGGAACACTGACATATCTAGAAGGAGGACTCTCAAACTCATCTGTGAAAGACTTTTCATGAGTCCTGTTCAGTTCTGAGCTATTTTTGAGAGATACTAACTCAGAATTACAAATGCCTGGATGGTTACAAACCACTTCATGTAAGCCCTCTTTCACTTCTGCCAGTGCTTCTTGTGGTTCATTCCTCAAAGGAATTGATGTGGCTAAGTGACAGCCACTCCTTCCATAGTCATTCCAGGTGCCTGAGCTTCCAGGCATTTTAGAAGAATTATTTTCAGGATTATCACTACCCTTATCAGAACTTTCAGAGATACTTTCCACTTCAGGACTTGTTGCATCGTCTATCACTGTAGTCTCCTTTTCAGCTTTCTCAGAAAGCAGCTGTGATGTTTCATTATAATTGCAATTTTGTGGTCTGGAGTCATGAAAAGATTCATAATTTCTGCCTTCCTCAGAAGCGCTTGAAGAAGATTCTACATTATTCTGCAACAAGTCTTTTCTCTCTTCCTGACTAACTGGATTACTTTGATTGGAAAATGACTCATTCTCTGTGACTAACGCTTCCAAACTAACACTATTCCTCATTTTTTCTGGTGAGCTGGAAACTTCAGTTGTTGACCTGTTTTCTTCCAAATCTGCATTACATGAAGATTCACTGTCCTCTTGCACTGCTTTATTACAAATGTCACTAATCATTTGCTGTCCACTTGTCTCATCTGTTCTCTTATATTCCTCTTTTCCTTCCTGAGAGGTGACGTCCCAGCCTTCCTCACAATGCTCCTCACTCTGTAAACTCCACAAGTTCTGCTGCTGCACTGAATTGTGATCATCCAGCTTTTCATCAATTTCAGCGGTGTTTTGTGCTGCCTTTTTGCTAACTATCTGACTCCCTAAGTCACATATTTTCAGATCCAAACCATTTCCAGTGTCTGACGTTGGTGTAGATGTGTCTGTGTCTTCTACAGGAACACTGGTTCCTGTTTCTACATTTTCAGCTGCAGTCTGTCTAGTATTTAATTCATTCTGTGGTGGTGATAAGTCATTCACTGTTTGATTGTATACTGGCGTTATTCTTCTGTTTTCAGCTATAGAAAAATTATTTTCACTGGTATGTATCTCAGTTGAAAAACATTGATTAGCTGTTTGTTCTGAATTAAGGAAAGGTTTAGCAAAGGCAGAAAGAGAAGTAATTTCAGAATTTCTTTCTTGTAACTGGGTAACATTATTTAAGGGAGCGTTCCAGATGTTTGTGTTTCCAATGCTTGAAAAAGGCATGTTTCTAGGAGACGATAGTTCCTTACTTGTTTTCTCAAGTACTTTTGGCTCAGCCAAATTTGCGTTTGTCAATTTATCAGTAACTGTTTCTTCATTGAAATCTGTGTCCTTATTTTCTCCTTCATCTTCCACATATGTAGGTGATACATATGAATCAGATGTTGAATAATTGGTGTCTGGTGGAGAAACAACTATATCTTCACCTACGTTTGATGAACTAAGATCTGAGTGTTTATACAAGAAGGTATCCTCCCATGGCACCACTACTTCTGTTACTTCTTTCCTGATGTTTTTATCATACATATTCCAGGTCTCTATATTTTCAAATGGGTTTGGTCTATGTTTACGGTCACCAAATACAGTGTTTTCCTCTGTTTCCAGCTTGGGATTATTTTGCATATTGTTCAAAACAGAATTTGTATTTTCAGATTTTCCATATTCTTCTACTGAATAATATTTTTCTTTATCCCAGGCTTCTGGAGATACCTGGATAGGTGGATTTTCAGTCTCATTGTCTGCAATGATTTCTGAAGAATCTGATAAACTAGTTTTTGATATGGCCCATTCCTCAGGAATATTCACTGATTTTTTTTCTCTATCCAGTTTGGGCATGTTCCATACATTTTCTGAGGACCGAGCAATGTCTCCTGCATCAAACTTAGTCCAGACTTCATATGAGACTCCAGCTAACTGACTACTTTTCCCTTCACCACTGCACCATGCATCCGACATCATCGGTGTTGGCTGACCGACCTTCCACAAGTCAGGAAAGCTCTCTGGTTCTTGCTTTGTCTCCTTTAAAGAAGCAGTTTGCAAAAGTGAATGTTCATTCTTTTTCTCTCGCTTCTCATGGTCCCAATTATCTTGTTTAAACTGATTATCCCACAGACCTGCTCTCATGTATTCCATTTGCTTTGGCTGTTTTTGGAGGAATACAGAATCTGAGGCTCTTCTATCAGTATGTTCTCGTAGCAAAGGACTTTCTTTACAATCTTTCCATAAGACAGGGCTCTGAAATACAGATTCCTGCTCACTTGAACTCCATGTATCAGCATTTCTGGACTCTAGGTCAAAGCCATCCCACCAGCTTCCATATCTAACACCAGACTGAGAATAATTTGTGCCATCTATTTCATTAATTTTTTTAATGACATCTTGTGGGAAAAATAAAGGCTGCCCATTATCTAATGGTGAAGTTTCTACAAGACTGTTCATAGGAGTTGGTGGAATTCTTGAATCAGCAGATTTCAACATTTCTGGTGACGAAGAATCACCTTCAACTAAATCGATCAAACTTGAAGTTTTCTCACATATTTCTCCTGGATTCTCATAAAATTCAGCTAAATTGTCTTCCTCATTTGTTGTCGTAATTAAGTCAGTTGAATAATTTGCTGTATTGTTTTCTAGCAGGTTTGCCTCATCAAGATCTTTCTGCACAGTGAGTTGTTGTCCTTCTGATGAATCACTGTTAAGGAAATAGTCATCTGCTGGGGAACAATCAACAGAATGAGAAGATGACTCAGATGGAGCTGTAACCACGGGTGCTAGATCAAAATTGAAAAGATCAAAGTTATCATTATTATCACTAGACTGAGGTTTTTGTTCTTCGGCTATTGCTCCTTCAGGAATAGGGCTATAGGAATCAAAGCCAGGCAGAAGACTGTGATGGGAAGCAGCACCTTCTGCAACAGGGCTGTCATCACTAAGGAAAACAGAACTCTCCTTGGAAGACCGGCTGCTTCTAATGGTAGCCAACCCACTGTCTGGACTCACAAGGTCTACATTAACATCAACATGGGCTTGCATTGATCCATTTAGATCTTGAGGGTTTTCTATAAAATTGGCCGAACTGGGCTGTGGTTCTGCATCAGAACCATATAACTCCATGATACCAGATGATCCTTGTGAAAGTGGAGCACTGCCAGCAACAGCTTCAGTAGAAGAAGTTCTACTGTTTGATACCATTTCTGGTTGCCTTCTATTTATAACTTCCTTAACCAGAAGAAAAATTTGATCACAGGTCACCAAAGAATTTTCTTGATGATAAATGAGAATTTGGTCACATTCACATCCTAGAGGATCCAGCTCCAAACAAGGATTCTGACATTCTTCTAATTCACAGCAGATCTGTTGAAAAATAGGATGTTTCAAGAGCCATTGCAATCATGGACATAAGGACACATATTGACAACTTCACTGTGCAAGACAGACATACCTATCTATTCCTATTAATCTGTTTCTTGGCTATTTCACTGTAACAGCCTTATTATGATCCCTAAATTGATGAAGTATTACAACAGACGATCAATACAAAATATGTTTTATAGAATTGGTCAGAATATTTACTTGACTTTCATTTTTCATTAGTAAAAAAAAAAAAAATCCAAATAAATGCTTAGTTGTTGCCTTAGGAAATTTGAGTAAAACATGTAAGGGTACATGAGAAAAGTATTTCTAGAATGGGATAATTAGATTAATAAAATAAATATATTTATGTTGACCTTGAAAGCAATAGGATCATGTATCCACCTGACCCTAAAATTGGAAGTTTTTAAAGCTGAGAAAATGGTTCAAAAAGTTGCCACTGAGATGACTTCTTCCATTTGGGGACAAATCTAGTAAAAAAAAATATCAGTGCCTGGCTTTCGATATCTGAACATCCTAGTAATAAACTGGCTTCCTCTCAGAGCTTAAATTCTTTAGTGATAACATACACATGAATGAGTTCTGGTCATTATGTTTACAATGTGTTTGCTCATCCCTCAATGCCAAAGACTCATTTGTGCAGATCACAATACAAAACCAAGCCAAAACTAGCAAAAAACTAGATCATTCTGTTTTAGCTGAACTGAAAAATCTTGTCTCCTGTATTTCTTGTAACCATACACTTTTTCTATTAGGCTGGTCTGAAATGATCACAAATATCACAAACTTTCATTTTGCATCATATAAACAATGCAGCCATTTCAAATAGCTACTCAGTTGCCAGCCAACTGTTGTTACTTTTTGACCCCACTTAATTATTTGACATTCTGGTATATACTACTTTAAAAAAACATTTTTTGCAGGGAAGATATTATTTGATTATTTTTCTGGGTGGGTACTTACTTGATTGCCTAGCTCTAAGTTTTCCGAGAATACTGCTATTTGTCGTTTTGTTTGCTTCTCATCTGACAAACAGCTGGCCAGAATGACAAGTACATCAAACCCATATTTATCTACGAATGCTTTCAGATCACCAACGAGACTCCTGTGTAACACGCAGTCCTAAAATATGGCAAGAAATTAAAAGAAATGTCAGCTCTTTCCATCCAAATCTGTGATGAAAATAGCCATAAACATTAACAAGCATCAAGGTCTGTAACTGGCAACACAATTTCATTCCATTTGTCAAAACAGCCATCCACTTAAAAAGATCAAGAACCAGTCTCAGGCACAGTAATGGACTTTCATTTCTGAAGAATGCTAAAATACTAAATGTAGGTTTTGCCTTCTTGAAACTGCTGCTGAAACAGAATTCTTATTTTTTCCAGCTACTTGCTTTTGCAAGGTTGCTTAAAAGTATTGGGCTACTGCTATTTCTTGAATAAAACCCCTTTTTTTTGTTAGAAAAATAAAAATATTTTACGAAATTTGACATGTTAATATTTCATTTAAAATAATAGTACTGAGGTACGAAATCAGGCACTCAAAAAGAAATGTACGTGCTAACAATTTTGCAGCTCTTTATATGTATCCATTATGAGGTCACATGGTTGTATATGATTTTACCATGGATTCCTTTAGATTCCTTTATTTCAGCTCTTTGAATTCTGTGTAAGTCTTTGAAAAAATAACTCCCCAAAATAAGAACAGATAAAAGTAAACTAGTTCTAAAATCTCTTTGTGTAAAAAAAAAAAATGCTTATTTTCACACACATCCCACACCAAATACACAGGAGGTAAACACTGCATTTGTCATTCCTATTCTTATTCGTACTTGGACTAGCCTGATGTTGAATTATCTAGATTTTACAACATAAATCATACATCCCTCTTTCTCATCTGCAGAGATAATGCACAAAGTATAAATGTCTCTCTTCAGTCTTCAGTTCTCGTAACAGCCAGCAAAAATCTTAGAAATTTTATTTTCTCCTGTATGTTTCTGCTATTTGTATTTGAGATAATTTTTTTTCATCTTCTTGCTAATAGTTCTTCTGATGGTGCCAAGCTACACTGGCCCTGAATAAACAGCAGTTCATCATGAACGCAACGCAACTACATATGCAGATTGGCATGTTATTCCCCTGCGTCTGTCTCCTTCCTAATAAATTACTGTTTTGGTTACATATATACAAATACTATTTATTAATCTGCTCAAATGTGTCCACAATATGCGTCTCCCTCTCTGTAAATTAAACCTAAAACAAAAAAAATCTGTTTGTCAAATGCTTTGGAAGTAGATTCTTTTCCGTGATTAGAGATGAAGTTCCACTTTGATGTTCGCATGGCACCTAAAAATGAGTTTTATGTGAAATTAACACAGAATAAAGCATAAACAAAAGTCAGCTGTCAGTTTACTGGTGGACATTCAGATATGAAATCTGAATAGGGGGTTATGGGAATAAGGTTTGAACATCCAAACCAGTAACACTGTTCTGAAGACTCACGTATTGGGTATATTAGAAAAAGTACGATTATGTGCTTAGTCATGGAAAAGTTACTTCAGTTATCCCATCCCTAGTCGCAGTTGTGTCATGGTTTGATCCCAATTAGCAACTAAGCGCTCTGCAGCCACTCACTCGCTCCTCCCCACTCCCAGTGGGATGGGGAAGAGAATCAGGAAAAAAAAAGAGAAGTAAAATATGTGGGTTGAAATAAGAACAGTTTAATAATTGAAATAAAATATAATAACAATAATTAATAATAATGAAAAGGAATATAACAAAATGAGAGAGAAGTAAAACCCAAGAAAAGACAAGTGGTGCACAGTGCAGTTGCTCACCACCTGCTGACCAATGCCTGCGCAGCGATCAGCCCCTCCTGGCCAACTCCCCCATTTATGTACTGAGCAGGATGTTCCGTGCTGTGGAATATCCCTTTGGCCAGTTCGGGTCAGCTCCCCTGGCCATGATCCCTCACAGATTCTCGTGCACCTTCTCACTGGCAGAGCACAGGAACCTGAAAAACCTTTAACTTAGGATGAGCACTGCTCAGCAACAACTACACCATCAGCGTGTTATCAATATTATTCTCACACTAAATCCAAAATGCAGCACTGTGCCAGCCGAAATCTGGAGAAGTTGGAATAATTAAAATCTACTTGAATAAAAAAATTGAACTAGAGCAGATTCAAAACTACCTGAAAATCCCTGATGATGCATTATCTCAGTTACCCACTCATAGACAATTCAAGAAGATTGGGAGGTCACAGGGAAGGACATGGACCAATCAAAGATCTAGTTTTCAAGGTGTTTTATGGCTGTACATAAGAAAAATCAATGATCATACTAAAAAATGTCCAGCCTTCAAGCTTCACGATGCTTTATCTTCTATATTGCTGTATCAACTGAAAATGCAAGGAATTAGAAATTTTCTGTTAAAATCACATGACTGAACTGTAAGCCTCAACAAAGTGACATTGACTGAGACAATATCTGCCATCATCTCAGCCTGCATTTGGCATTCACAAAGTGGTAGGTTGGGGAGTGCCAAAAATCCTGCTTTCTGCAGTATTTTGAGGGAGGAACGTCTTAACCTGCCTACACAGCAAGGGAAAACTCCCTTGTCACAACCACGGCCAACTGGAGAGTCAATATGCACATGCAAGGCGATTGGAGGTATATTTCCAGAGTTTAAGGCCAAGGACCACTAGGGCATCATAGAGCAAGACTATAAATACAACAGAACAAGATACAACATTCACATGCTAGCTGCTCTTTGTTGGTGGGAATTGTTACCACAGCAAGGGTGTAGCACCGTACAACGAAAGGTCAGTTCTACCAGTCAGAGCAGGAGCTAAAGATGTAAATGGCTCTGTAAAGCACCTGAAGGTGCCAAAATCTGAATTTGCCTTTTGCCCTGTTTTTTGATAACTTATGTCACATGATCAACAGCAACACTGAGGAATCGATATAGCAACAGGTGATCCAGTAGCTGCCGCTGTAAGCAGGGAAATTGCCAAGTTTGTATCCCTGGTGGAATAATTGGACTGGAGACCTTCACATTGGGCCACATTAATATAAACAATAATGGATCTGTACTACTTATGTATTTACCTGATCCAGCTACTTGAGGTTCTCTCCTTTTCTTCCATGCTCTCAAACTTACTATTATTCAGAGTGTGTATTTTTTCTTCTTGATATTCTCAGCATGTTGATGACCAAGAGAAGCACAAAGATTAACCCTGAGCAGGCTGCCTGTCCCTTTCCATCAGGTACAAGCTGCAGAAGGAGATCAGTTCTGCACTACATATTTTTTTCTCTGTGCTTCACATCCAGCTTGGCCTTTGGGCTGTGTCGTGCTAAACATATTCCTTAGGCACAGAATAAACTTGGCCAGCTAACAGTACCAGAGAAGACTGCAGGCAGTCCACTTGGTACTAGCAATTACGTCACCTATGTGTCCTTGCCTTTATCTAAAAGCGTAGCAAGAAGTTCTCTTATGAACATCCTTTCTGTTTGACAGCAGAAATGAGGAACATAGTTGTTTTCTTGTAAGAAAACCCTATAGTAGTTAAAATGACCAAAAGGTGGAAATTTCTTCTATGAGTGGGGAGCCTCCAGCATGCTATGCTTGGATTGGAGGCTTATTCAATGCTGCACACCTCAGGGTTCCCACCATCTAAAGGGATGTAGGGTTACCCATTGTGTTTTCTCCTTATAATGTTAGCTCTAATAAACAGCATTTTAAAAGATACCTCACAGAGTTTGGATGTTTTTCTTACTAAGATCATAATGGACCAGCACCACCTCTCATCAACTGATGAGAGACTGCTCAGAGCAGCATGGGAATGGGTTTAGGTGTGCCAGCACCATACATCATACTGAAACAAAACACCTTTAAAGAAAACATGCAAATTATTTGAGGATTTAAAAGTGAAAGAGGGCAAGAGACATTTTACAGTGACATTCAATTAAAAATAATACGAGGAATTCATTAAGGCATGTCAGAACACAGTCCAAGTCAAGCAAAATGATGCTGATCACACCCATTTACTACTTGACTCCATAGCCTGTCAATTAAAAACTTTCTGACAAAAAGGCCATTATTTGGCAAAGGTATAAAACCCAAGACCATATTCATTCTGTGGCACAAGGAAAAAGATATAAGCCTGCCGCATTACTACTACTAAGCAACAATTAATATTCAAATAATACCTGACAATGTAGGTTACTCAATTTTCCCATAAACAGTCACTTTAATAATCAATGATAAATGTTTGTCATAAGTTGTTACTTCACTAAGTGCATGGAGAAATGAAAAACAAGGCAAACAGACCTTGTTAAAAGAATAGGTCAAAGAGTAAATTTGCTGGAAAATGCTGTTGACTGAGCTATTGAATAAAAGCAAGACTAGATTACATGTCTTACAGCATCATGACTGTAACTCATCAATTTTTTTTGGCTGACCGGACTATTATTCAGAACATAAAATTAATTGCTAATTTAAAAATAAGCAAAGGTATTTTTATTAATGTTAATAAATATTAAGTAATCATTTATTCTAAAAGTTTAATTCCATACCTCTCCCCAAACATCCATAAAGTTTACTCTTTTAAACTAGTACCAACAACACAATTCAGATACTCTCTACATAAGCATTCAAACATTTAAATATATAAAGTTGCAAACAAGAAACTCTTATAAATTACCAAAGACTGTATATTGAAAGACATGGTAGATATATGGACTTTTCCACAAACTTGCTAACCTAAGTAAACAACCGGAATGTTGCATGTATTGTAAATACTAACAGAAAATAAAACGTTTCTTTCAGAAATGAAAAAATGCTAATCGTTTCAACAGTTCAGATGCTACACCCTAAATTAATTACAAGCACTGTAAAATATGCTGTTGATGAATTAATATAGTAGGAAATACACTGACATACAGCCAAATCATGACAAAGGTCAGTCAGCTATTCATTCTCATACTACCTTTCCTTACTTTATTAGCATGTGCTGTCTTAAATATTAATTAATATTTGCATAGTGTACAGCAGATAAATGGCATATGTAAACATCGCTAGTTGTCATAATGCCCTCTAAGTAACCTATAACAAAAAAA